ACAGAGATGACTACAACAAAGGCCTCACACATCACAGTTATGCCTCCTGAAGACGAAGTAAACAGTGAGTTATAATTTTTACAGCATTTAGTTGGTCTCGGACTCAGTTACATGTATGAACAAACAGAAAGCCGTAAAACCACCTATCATCAACTACGTGAGAGGAAATCTCCATAGAATACAATATCTGAAGCTTCCAGCAGTCATTGTGGCCATTGGGGATGGTCATGTTTCGTCAAGGTCACTTGTCCAGTGATATGATGAAGGATGAATCACCGGAATAGGGTGTGGCTTGGAGCAGCGAACTCGACCCTTCTTGAAAAAAAGAAAACATTTGAACCCTTAGAACAGTTGAAGGGCGATCAGGCTGGGGTGGAGCGCATTTCGTGATCTCCTTTAGACTGCGAAATGTTGCGGATTTCACTATAAAACCTTTTCTACATAAAGGAGTTTGTTCACTCACATTGGAACCATTCACCCCGAGCTCACGGCAAAGTCTTCATTCACTGGTTCCCGGGCGTTTCTTCGCAGTTTCCTCACACTTCCGATCCCTTTTTGGATGCGTGTGGCGCATCCAAAAAGGGATTGGTCAACACCGAGGACTTCCCTTTTTGGAGCTTTGTGAATTCGCGGTCAGTTAGTGGTGGAAGCAATGTAATAATGAAGAGTTTCAGGGATGTGGCGATGTGTTGTTGAAAGGAAACAGTTAGGAACAACGACGCTTAACATTGACGTCGGTTCTGAATTGGCAACTCTATTCACACAGTGCTATTTGCATAACACAGTGCTGCCAATCGAGAAAGCGAATATGCCAAGTGAGGTGAGTATTTCATGGCAAGGAAATTGAATTCTTTTTATGCTACTGTGAAAAGGATTGGATAACATAATAATCTATGGAAGTTATTGGTAATAATGGTAGATGATCATGAGATGCTGTGAGCCTCTCCCTATGACCTATAGGACTAATTGTACCAACCAGGGTAGTTCACGGAAATACTGCAAGAATAAGTATGCCGGCTTGAGCGCCATGTCACGCCCTAAAAGCATAAGGCACGATAGCTGGCTACTCGTTCCAAATTGAATGGGCATCTTGGTCGGCATGTTGCGGTCTGAATGGGCAGCGTTCAGGCTTCGCGACAGCAGCGTTTCGATCGCTGTTCGACGCGACCGATGCGCATGCTTTCAACAGCGTCGGTCGCGTCGAACGCGCAACGGCGAACTGCGGCCGCGGAGTCTGAACGCTGCCTTAGGCATTATAACGGTGCCTTTGTAAGCGCCACTTAGCGCCTGCTATGAGGCACAATATTCTTTCGCTAGGATTGTCGCCCTGTATGCCTTATCGTCGATTTCGTGGCACTTGCTTTTAACTACACCCCATTTGAGCGGACTTACAGTGTCTCCTGATGATGAGCCAACCAGTGTTTTCATCCCCTGCTAGCCTGCTGACACGTGCTCGCTTGGGGAGGGAGGCAAGACCACCAACATGAACTCCGCTGAAGGCACAGCTCCCATGTAGCGCACCTACAGAAATCCAAATGTACTCTCCTTTCCCTCTCCCAACACTGCGTCAGCATTAATGTAATTCTGGTTTTAGCATAGCACTACTATGACAGACAGACCATACGCTTGGCCCTCAGATAACGTTCATTCCTCGGCCTTGTTGCATTACCACCCTCACGTGAAACATGGATACCTCTGAATTTAGGTGAAAGAGCGGCTTCTCGCATTCGTTGAAAATCACCTTCAAAGCGATCGACACGAAGAGGAGCCATTCAACTGGTGCGTGAATGTAGTGGTTGGTAACAACCATGTAAAGAAAAGCTTGGAGGTGATCACAGAAATTGACTTGGGCGGCGAAAAACTCGAATTCGACGTGGATCAATTTGGTAAACTTCGATATCAACTCGCCTCTGCCATCGTGGCCATGGAAAAACACTCTTCCTCATGACTGTCAGCAGCATTTATTGGTATTGTAATTTGCGGACAGATCGCTTATTGGTCACTGACTTTGTAAACATATACATATGTACGGCAGGCACAAGTGAACCCTGCTCGCCCCAGAGGTACACGCCAAGAAAAAGTCTTGAAAAATACTTGGTTGAAGAATAAATGAAGACGGTCTAACGAAGTGTCAGTGAAATACTGGTCTTGCAATGACAGAAAAAAGCGCCATATTGTTACAAAAGAACAACCTCCAGTTATCCATTTTGGGCAGATTTGGCGACAAGCAAATTTAGCGAAGGGAGGGGAGGTGCGGGGGGGGGGGAATCGAAAGAGCTTCGGGAATTGAGACGATGTCATACCTTTGTACAGCATACGCGACTTCCACGGAGGGAGAGTTTGCGGTGGGATGAGAGGTAGGGGAAAGGCCCCGGGTTCGTTTTCCATCTATTCGAAGTTCATTGCTGGGTCAGAATCACTGATGCCTTATTTTCTCTCACTGCTTGCCCATAATTTTTGTTTTTTGTTGTTTATGTGCACGTTTTAATAAAAATTCACTTCTCCATTTGTGTGACTGTGTTCGGAAAGGAGTCAAAAATGTCAGTTGTTCACCACTAACGATAAGCAGCTTGGACAGCTCTAACCGCAACTGCAGTCGGGTAGACAATTTGAGTGCAACAGATTTGAACTACTCCTTTTGCACAGACAAATTAGTTCACCAACTTGGAGCTCTTTCTTTCTGCCAACTTGGAACTCTTTCTTTCTGCTAAGCAAAAATCATATCTCGTCGTCGTTTTTTCTTTCTGCTAAGCAAAAATCATATCTCGTCGTTGTTTATCGTGTTTTTAAGTGACTTTGCACCGAAGTGCTTCACCTTATTGAATTGCGCTCAGCTCTGGCAGCCATCCTCTACC